CCTCTGGAGCGGCAGTTGTTCCCACCCATGAGTGGCCTTCGGGCCCTTGGTCTTCCCTCCTCTCCTCCTGTCCACACTCCGTCCCCTCCAGCGTTTGGTCCCACGTTTCCTCCTCCTGACGCCAGTCCGGCGGTCTGGTCTTCTCCTCCACCGCAGTCTCCTCCACCTGGTGTCCCGCACTCTCGTGTCCGTCCCTGTCCTCCGCGTGCTCGTCACTTGTCTCCCGTTACCGACCTCCGCACTGCCCTCCTTTGTTCGTCTCTTCGTCGTCCTCCTCCTGAGTCCGTTCTCCCGTCTCCTCCTCCGTCCTCTCTCCCTTTCCCCCCTACTCCTGTCACTGACTACTACCGCGCTGTTCGTCCTGTTGTCTCTCGTGTCCTCGCCACTCTTGTCACCGCCCCTCGTTTCCCTCCGTCGTCTGTCTCGGCTCTCACTGCCGCTGTCGCTGAGTTTGCTGCCGCCAGTCGCCTTGACTACACCACCCGTGTGGTGCCAGCTCCTCCCTCCCATCCTCTGTCCAACGGGGGTGAGTTTGCCCTTGGCTGTGACGTCCTAGAGGACAGAGAGTCTGAGTTGGAGTACTGGGGAGCTGCTTCTCCCTCTGTCTGTGCCATGCTGCTATCCCCCGAGGGAGACCCCGACGCCCTTGACATACCGACTCCTCGTACTTACCGCGAGGCGGTGTCAGGGGCGTGGGCCTCTCAGTGGAAAGCGGCTATGGCCTCAGAGTTAGCGTCTTGGAGATCCACAGGCACCTACGTCGACGCAGTTCCCCCTCCCAGGGCGAACGTAGTCGATGGCATGTGGCTCTTCAAGGTGAAGCGGCCGCCTGGGTCACCGCCTGTGTTCAAGGCGCGCTACGTTGCTAGGGGTTTCAGTCAGCGTGAGGGAGTCGACTTCTTCCAGACCTTCGCCCCGACCCCGAAAATGACTACTCTTCGGGTGTTACTGCACGTAGCAGCACAGCGAGACTACGAGCTGCACTCCCTTGACTTCTCTACTGCGTTTCTCCAGGGCAGGCTACACGAGGAGATCTGGCTGCGCCGCCCTCCTGGCTTCACTGACACCTTCCCACCTGGGACCCAGTGGAGCCTGAGACGGCCAGTCTACGGTCTCCGCCAGTCGCCTCGTGAGTGGCACGACACTCTTCGCTCCACGCTCCGTGACCTTGGGTTTTGTCCTTCCTCTGCCGACCCGTCGCTGTTTGTTCGCACTGGTTCCACTCCTTTCTTTATACTAGTGTACGTCGACGACTTGGTCTTTGCCACAGCAGACAGGGCAGCTCTGGCTCAGGTGAAGTCCGAACTGCAGAAGAGACACAAGTGCACTGACCTAGGTGAACTGCAGCGCTACCTTGGCCTGCAAATCACCAGGGACAGAGCCGCTCGCACCATCACACTGACTCAGTCACACATGGTGCAGCAGGTCCTTCGGCGGTTCGACTTCCAGTTCTCCACCACACAGCCCACACCTCTTGCTGTTGACCACAGACTCACTGGCCCATATCCCGACGAGCCATTTGAGTCCAGTGGTCCCTACGCAGAGCTGGTGGGCTGCCTCATGTACCTGATGACTTGTACTCGGCCGGACCTCGCCTTTCCCCTCAGCATACTTTCTCGCTTTGTTGCGACTGGGAGACACCGTCCTGTCCACTGGACAGCTGCTGTGAGGGTGGCGAAGTATCTGGCGACTACATCAGGCATGGGGCTTGTACTTGAAGGGACTCAGCCAGTGGCGTTGACTGGTCACTGCGACTCTTCCTACGCTGACGACGTGGAGACTCAGCGCTCGACTCAGGGTTACTGCTTCAGTCTGGGAGCTGGTGCTGTGTCGTGGAGGTCTACACGGTCGTCGTCTGTGGCTACTTCCAGTGCAGAGGCAGAGATCTACGCTGGTGCCATGGCGGCACAGGAGCTTCGCTGGCTGACCTTCTTCCTCGCCGACCTTGGTGAGCGGCCTCGCGCTGCACCGACCTTGTACGATGACAACAAGGCCATGATCCTCCTCTGTCGAGAGCCTCGACTGGAGAGCAGGGTGAAGCATATTGACGTGAGGTACTTCCTCCTGCGAGAGCTGCAGCGACGTGGCCAGGCACGCCTGGACTTTGTGGCCTCAGAGGCCAACACTGCAGACGTCTTCACCAAGGCCCTAGCGCTTGGTGACCACCACAGGTTCTGTGTGCAGTTGGGGCTTGTTGAGGTAGGGCCTCGGTTGCTGTAGTCTTGTTGCTTGCTCTGCTTGTTGTGCTTTCCTATATATATCCTAGTGAACTCTTGAACTGGCCTTCTGGCCACTTGCTTGCTTGAGGGTTTCCTACTTGTACTCCTCATGCTGCTCAATGCAATCATTCCTCGTTCTATTCTTCACATATATAGTGATATTGTGGGTTTTGGCCAATTGTACTGGGCCTCTAATTTCTCATTGAGTTTGCCAATTGTTGTTTACGTTTTCATTTTTACAGATAACGTTTTTACTCCAAAAGCAGCGGTGCCCTGTAGAGAGTTACGCAGTGGCGCGTTTCTGCCACGCGTTCTCTGCATCACTCTCCGTCGAGTCGAGACGGAATCCGTCGAAGGAGGCGGATTTCCTCGACGAGAAAAGATAGGAGGGGGGGAGCACCTGGGGTCATCGCCAGCTCCAGGGGGGACCACCTCGCGTCACTCCCAGCTGGCGTGGCTCATTTCGGGCGGGCGGGGGGGTCGGCTCCCGCCCTGCACTATGCGACTGCGTCAGGAATGAAATGACGCGGGCAAAAGGGGGGTTTCGTCGGGATCCCGCCGACATCTTCCCCACTTTTGGCGCGCTTCGCTTGATGCCCCCGATTCCGACAATCCGAACGAGCTACTAGGAACCCTTTAGTAAAGCTTGCTAGCGATATCTTTAGAACTTCGTTAGGTCTGGAAGTACTACTTCTCGTAGTGCTCTAAACAGCAGCCCTGCTGGTCATCAGGTGCGCTCATGTCTGCCGCAGCGACGGAAGAAACGTCTTTTGATGAATCTACAGGCTCCGGTAATTCTTGCGGGTGTGTTTATCTTGCATCATGTAACGAGGATCATGTGGACCCCGAGGCGCCAGCGAGCTGTCGCACGGTGTCGTTCGACGTGTCGCAAGAAACGCACTACGTCATCGTCGTCCACGGCACGTTCGCGCCGCCGGCCGACGGACCGCGCACGCCGTGGTACCAGCCCGCGGCGCGCGGCGACAGCAACTTCTGTAACAAGCTCGGCGCGCTTCTCGCGGAGGGGCCGCTCGGCGACGGATGCGTGTGGCGCGAGCTGCCGGCGGAGCCGCCTCCGCGACTTCGCATCCCGTATCCGTTTCACTGGGACGGCACGAACAGGCATGAAGGGCGCATCGACGCCGCCCACAAAGTAATCAACGCTGTATCTACTCCTGAAGCAAACAGCCGTGAGATTTCTCCAAAGAAGATCTTCTCATTATCTTTCCCCTCGATATCCAACCTACACCGCAAAATCATGTCTTCCCCCCCAGTTCACCCCCAGTTCTCCCCTTCCCCCCTTCACCTCTCAACGCCAGTCAGCACAGTCACCACCACTCCTTGCTTTCTCTTCCGTCCTTTTCTCCAATTTCCCCCCATCCGCCTCTTCTCCACTCCCCCCCATCCCTTTACTGCCCCACTCTTCCTTCCTCTCCACCTACTCACCCCTTCTCCTCCCTTTTCCTCTTCTCCCCCCTCCTCTACCTCTTCTCCCTCCTCTCTGCCTCTCGCCCCTGGTGTCTCCCCTGTTTGGCCCCTTATTCCGCCTCCATAAGTCTTGCCGTTTACCTCCTGCCTGCATGCACTCCCACAGCTGGCGTGCCTGCTGGACGTGATAGGGCACGGCGACCCCTCAGCGCGCATCCACGTCATCGCCCACTCCCACGGGGGCAACGTGCTGCTCAAAGCCATTGAGCTCGTGAGTGCTGCTCAAAGCCATTGAGCTCGTGAGTGCTGCTCAAAGCCATTGAGCTCGTGAGTGCTGCTCAAAGCCATTGAGCTCGTGAGTGCTGCTCAAAGCCATTGAGCTCGTGAGTGCTGCTCAAAGCCATTGAGCTCGTGAGTGCTGCTCAAAGCCATTGAGCTCGTGAGTGCTGCTCAAAGCCATTGAGCTCGTGAGTGCTGCTCAAAGCCATTGAGCTCGTGAGTGCTGCTCAAAGCCATTGAGCTCGTGAGTGCTGCTCAAAGCCATTGAGCTCGTGAGTGCTGCTCAAAGCCATTGAGCTCGTGAGTGCTGCTCAAAGCCATTGAGCTCGTGAGTGCTGCTCAAAGCCATTGAGCTCGTGAGTGCTGCCCAAAGCCATTGAGCTCGTGAGTGCTGCTCAAAGCCATTGAGCTCGTGAGTGCTGCTCAAAGCCATTGAGCTCGTGAGTGCTGCTCAAAGCCATTGAGCTCGTGAGTGCTTACCATCACCCTTTTTCTTACTCTTATTTTGTTGCTTCTGGATCTTTTCCCTAGTTTCTAGTAATCTCAAAACATCCTCTCTTTTCCACTCTCTCTCTACTCTACCATTTGCTCTTTTTCTTCCTCACTATCTCCACTCCCTTTTCCCTAACCCCTCCCTATCTCCCCCATCCCTCTCCCCTCTTCCCTCTCCCCACCCTTTCAAATGGTCCGTTGCATTGATACGTACGAAATCACAGACATGCAGGTTAGTACGTACGTAAGTAGGGCTACCTCTACTTCAGCAACATACTCCCTCTAAGGAGCTCCAGGGCAGGGCAGGCTCCCATTTCCCACCCTCTCCCTCTCCCCCTCCCCCTGCGTTTTCCTCTCCCCCTCCTCCTGCGTTTTCCTCTCCCCCTCCCCCTCCCTATCCCTCTCTCCTTCCCACCCCCTTTCCCCCCCCTTCCCCCTTACCCCCCCCCCGCCCCCCTCCCTCTCCCTTTCCCCCTCCCCCTTCCGGTCCCCCCTGCCTATCTCCTTCCTCTCCCCTTGCCCCTTGCCCCTCCCCCACCCTGCCCCCCCCTGCCCACCGGACCACCCGCCACGCACACACAGTACATGAAGGGCCAGGGAAGAAAGGCCGTTTCCGATCTTCCGCCAGTTGTCCTTCAACAATTCTGGGCGGCGTACAAGAGCAGATACGATCTGATTCACCACTGGCAGAAGCCGGATCTTTCCTATACCTGCTGGCGCTTCTTCCCCTTCCTTGTTGTCAAAAGGAGGTACGCTGCTCACCCTCCCTCGCCCGCCTCCCCTATACTCACTCCCCTCCGTCCCTCCTCTCCGTTTCCACCCTTGCCTCCCTCCCCCTCCTTTCCTCCCTCCCCTTCCTCACCTCCCTCCCCTCCCCTCCCTCCCATCCCTTCCCTCCCCTCCCCTCTCATCCCTCCGCTCCCTCCTTCCCTCTCTCTCGTACCTTTTCTATCTGCTACCTTCCCATCCTCCTCTACCTCCCGCTTGAATCAAAGACTCCCTCGGCGTCTCCTCGCTCCCCCCAGTTCCCCCATGCGCACAGGTTTTTACTCCCCACGCCTTCACACTACCGTCCCCCCATGCTCCCAGGTTCTTACTCCCCACGCCTTCACACTACCGTCCCCCCATGCGCCCAGGTTCTTACTCCCCACGCCTTCACACTACCGTCCCCCCATGCGCCCAGGTTCTTACTCCCCACGCCTTCACACTACCGCCCCCCCATGCGCCCAGGTTTTTACTCCCCACGCCTTCACACTACCGCCCCCCCATGCGCCCAGGTTCTTACTCCCCACGCCTTCACACTACCGTCCCCCCATGCGCCCAGGTTCTTACTCCCCACGCCTTCACACTACCGTCCCCCCATGCGCCCAGGTTCTTACTCCCCACGCCTTCACACTACCGCCCCCCCATGCGCCCAGGTTTTTACTCCCCACGCCTTCACACTACCGCCCCCCCATGCGCCCAGGTTCTTACTCCCCACGCCTTCACACTACCGCCCCCCCATGCGCCCAGGTTCTTACTCCCCACGCCTTCACACTACCGCCCCCCCATGCGCCCAGGTTCTTACTCCCCACGCCTTCACACTACCGTCCCCCCATGCGCCCAGGTTCTTACTCCCCACGCCTTCACACTACCGTCCCCCCATGCGCCCAGGTTCTTACTCCCCACGCCTTCACACTACCGCCCCCCCATGCGCCCAGGTTTTTACTCCCCACGCCTTCACACTACCGCCCCCCCATGCGCCCAGGTTCTTACTCCCCACGCCTTCACACTACCGTCCCCCCATGCGCCCAGGTTCTTACTCCCCACGCCTTCACACTACCGTCCCCCCATGCGCCCAGGTTCTTACTCCCCACGCCTTCACACTACCGCCCCCCCATGCGCCCAGGTTCTTACTCCCCACGCCTTCACACTACCGTCCCCCCATGCGCCCAGGTTCTTACTCCCCACGCCTTCACACTACCGTCCCCCCATGCGCCCAGGTTCTTACTCCCCACGCCTTCACACTACCGCCCCCCCATGCGCCCAGGTTTTTACTCCCCACGCCTTCACACTACCGCCCCCCCATGCGCCCAGGTTCTTACTCCCCACGCCTTCACACTACCGCCCCCCCATGCGCCCAGGTTCTTACTCCCCACGCCTTCACACTACCGCCCCCCCCATGCGCCCAGGTTTTTACTCCCCACGCCTTCACACTACCGCCCCCCCATGCGCCGACTCCCCTGCACGTGCATACGGCTCTGTTGGAAAAGACATGTTCTGCGTTTAGCACACCCTCGTATATACGTTAGATGGTGAGCGTATATACGTTAGATGGTGAGCGTATATACGTTAGATGGTGAGCGTATATACGTTAGATGGTGAGCATATATACGTTAGATGGTGAGCGTATATACGTTAGATGGTAAGCGTATATACGTTAGATGGTGAGCGTATATACGTTAGATGGTGAGCATATATACGTTAGATGGTGAGCGTATATACGTTAGATGGTAAGCGTATATACGTTAGATGGTGAGCGTATATACGTTAGATGGTGAGCGTATATACGTTAGATGGTGAGCGTATATACGTTAGATGGTGAGCGTATATACGTTAGATGGTGAGCGTATATACGTTAGATGGTGAGCGTATATACGTTAGATGGTGAGCGTATATACGTTAGATGGTGAGCGTATATACATTAGATGGTGAGCGTATATACGTTAGATGGTGAGCGTATATACGTTAGATGGTGAGCGTATATACGTTAGATGGTGAGCGTATATACGTTAGATGGTGAGCGTATATACGTTAGATGGTGAGCGTATATACGTTAGATGGTGAGCGTATATACGTTAGATGGTGAGCGTATATACGTTAGATGGTGAGCATATATACGTTAGATGGTGAGCGTATATACGTTAGATGGTAAGCGTATATACGTTAGATGGTGAGCGTATATACGTTAGATGGTGAGCGTATATACGTTAGATGGTGAGCGTATATACGTTAGATGGTGAGCGTATATACGTTAGATGGTGAGCGTATATACGTTAGATGGTGAGCGTATATACGTTAGATGGTGAGCGTATATACGTTAGATGGTGAGCGTATATACGTTAGATGGTGAGCGTATATACGTTAGATGGTGAGCGTATATACATTAGATGGTGAGCGTATATACGTTAGATGGTGAGCGTATATACGTTAGATGGTGAGCGTATATACGTTAGATGGTGAGCGTATATACGTTAGATGGTGAGCGTATATACGTTAGATGGTGAGCGTATATACGTTAGATGGTGAGCGTATATACGTTAGATGGTGAGCGTATATACGTTAGATGGTGAGCGTATATACGTGGGTGTGCCAAACGCAGAACATGTACGCTGCCTGGGAGGGGGTCTGGTACACACCGAAAATACACAGGCCCAGCCATGTTTGTTTCAGATAGGATGGGTGAGATGCTCACCCATAACCTTCGTCCCTTTATTTAATGAGCTGATTACACACACTCACACACACACACACACGCACGCACGCACGCACGCACGCACGCACGCACGCACGCACGCTCGCACACACACACACACACATGAAAAAACACAATTAGCCCACCCCACTCTACTCTAATGCCATATTATGATCCGCCACCCCCTTTTCTCTGCAAATGGGAAAGAGGAATGTGTTCCTGTGGCTAGGAAGAGAAAAAAACGCGAGAATGATTGTCTAATGAAAAAGGCTTGGAAAGTGGAGTCTGCTTGGAGTCTCAACCGCTCAACAACGGGACAGAGTGGATTGGCAATGGATGGGGGTGGAGAGGGTTGTCAAGTGGCATGGTGGACAGGGGTTGACGCACATCAAGTGTCAAGTTGAAACTCAGATCTGAGGTTAACATCGCGCGCGACATGCGTGACTGAGGTTGGAGTTTGCCACCTTCGCGAACTCAGGGTACGTTCTTGGCCGATGACTAGCTTTGGGCCAGGCTCCTTGATACGAGGTAGAATAGACGGGCATGAGGCAAAATGGACTGTTCGTGTCAGATCTCCCTGGGTAGTTGTGACACCAAGTAGGCTTGGCCTGAGGCTTGACACCGGCCAAGAACATACCATCAAGCACAACTTTTTTGTTTGGATTTTTCTGTTAGCCCGTGCATATATCGGCGAATTCACACCCAAAAAAGCAGTGTACGATGCATGTGTTTGAACGCTATACGCAGTTTCAGTACAGCGTTTTTCCAACTTGGGCATGCGGAGCACAAAGCAGCAGCAAGTACAACGGGGAAAAACGCCCTTCGTGTGCCACAGCTAGTGGGCTCCCTCTTAGGCCTGCGAGCTGCAACCAGCGCAAAAAAAAAAAAAAAAAAAAAAAAAAAAAAAAATCCAGTCCTCGTTGCTCCTTCCCCCCTTAGCCGCCCTCCGTTACCCTCCCTTCCCCCTTCTCCCCGTGGGTGTAGCATGGGGGAGCACAGAGCAGGTCGGACGAAGGAGCGGTACCCCTGGGCGCGCTACCGCTGGCTGGACTCCCTCCTGGGCCTGCCCTCCCAGCGCCAGCGCCTCTTCCTCTCGCACCGCCTGGCCACGAGCCCGCTGTCGAATGCGGTGGGCGGGGTGGTGTTCCTGGGCACGCCCTTCTACACCAAGACCTGGCAGCGCAACGGCGTGCTGCTGCTGCTGCTCACCATGTGGGGGTGACGTTCGTGGACATGTGGGGCTACGTGCTGCTGTGGCGCCTGGTGGTGCTGGCCATTGCAGGCAAGCTTTCAAGGTAATGAAAACGCACATGGTGGCCGTGTTCGTGGGGTGGGGGTGACGTTCGTGGTCATGTGGGTGGGGCTACGTGCTGCCGTGGCGCGTGATTGTACTCGCCATTGCAGGCGAGCTTGCGAGGTAATGCGCATTGTGGTGGTGCTGGGAAGTTGAATGATTTAAAAAGGCTTTGTAACAAAACATTGGAAGAACGACTTAGCAAATCTCGTCTTCCTTCACACCCTTCTTTGCCATGCATACTTGCATGGCATGGCATACTTGCATGTCATGGCATACTTGCATGGCATGGCATACTTGCATGGCATGGCACCAGCACCACCACGCCCAGCTACCTGCCCTTCTCCCTCGCTGCTGCTCTTCTTGTCTTCGCTGTCGTCAGTGTGGCATTGGAGGTGGGTGTGATTTTATAGCGGTGTCATATCATCAAGATGGGGTGGGATCAAGGTAAGACCATATAGAAAGGGGTAATTCCCCAGGGACCTAAGTTGCTCCAGTCCAAGGTGTTCCTTTTAGTTCTGTAAATTTGAGGGTGTGTGACCGTACGATTACATTGAGTCGTGTAAGGGCGATGATGTGATGAGGAGTTATGCAATGGCACTGATGTGATACTATAATTTAGGTAAGCCATTGGGTATCGGCATTCTCGTGATTGTAGGAATTGTGTGGCTATAGAATGGCAAGGAGGTGTGTGGTGGATGCACATGTGACTGTATGTAGTTACACCATACCGTACTCCTGGTGTGGAAAATCACCACGCCCTTTTACCTTAATGGTTAACCGCCCTCTCCCTTTGCTCCCCATCCCCTATTCCCCCCCCTCTCCCCTCCGCTCTCCTCTCCCTCCCTCTTTTTCTCGTGCACTGCATCATTCTCGATGCACTCTCTTTCTGCTGCCTCACTCTACTTTCTTTCTCCCGTCATCCCCTCTTTCCTCCCCTTTTCTCTCTCTCCTCCTCCTCTCGTCTCTACCCTCCACCCCCCTATCACAGCTCTGGCGCAGCACTGCATTTTACAGCGGGAACATCTACCACGCTCCTGTCTTCGATTGGTCGCCTGCCATGTCAGCACTCGTCATCCACGCCGGCAAATTAGACGAGGCCAGCCTGGCACTTTCCACCGAGCCTATCGCCCGAGCCTACATCGTTCCGCAGCTAGCCTCAAAATCCCCTTCTGGAAACCCCTTCCCTGCCGCCCAACCACAAACAAATGCTCCAATTGGACGCTTTACATCAGCAACTCTGCCCGGATTCTCTTGTGGAACATAATTTTCATCCTGCCCGCAACAGCTGTAGCACTGCTGTCTCGCCTGCTGGCGCCGTTCATAATCTCGGTGGTGCGGAAAGTGATAGTGACGGTGAGCTTTGGGCTGTCTCCCAAGGAGCTGAGCTTCGCCAGTGTGTTTGTGGACGAGTGCCTCCACCTGGGGCCGTCATCACACCACGTGGAGCACTGGAACGTGCAGGTGCGCTCAGATCAGATGCACGCGCAACACTGCAGCAGCACACACCAAGATCTGAAATGTCTCAGTGACTTGTGCTCTTTCGTCCAGCTTATGTTCCGAGGGGAATGAACCCTCTAGCTTACTCCTGCCACCCGTACCCTCCCCTCTCCCCTCTCTCTCCCCACTTTCTCAGAAACTACTGGCGCTGGCCAAGACGCGATCGTTGCGGGGGGAGCTGATGGCGGGGTATGAGGATGACAAGTGTGACATGGGAAAGGCTGTATTCCGGGAGGGGCTACTTGAAGAGCGGGTGCCTCAAGAGGGCGTAACTGGGAAAGGGGTAGCTGCGGAGGGGTTGATTGGGGAGGGTAAGGTGGAGGAGGGAAAGGAGCAGGAGGAGGTTGAAGAGAGGGAGGTGAGGGTGAGGAGGCAAGGGGAAGGTGATGAAAGAGTGGGTGCTGAGGGTGCAGAGAGTGCAGGGATAGCCTCAATACAGACAAGTGTGTCAAGACCACAGCAGGGCAGCTGCATGCATACAGCTGAGCCCCTTGATTCGCGAACGGGGCTTTCAGGTACCCACTTGGGTTTGGGGGAGGCCGTGGAGTCATTTGGTGCCGCCCAACAGCAAATGGTGGCAGCAGCAGGAGAGGAGGGAGGGCAGGGCAGAGCACCAGGAAGCGTGAGGCGGAGCTTAAGTCGCTTCAGAAGGCGCGTGACAGCAAGGCGCTTCACGGAGCAGGCTCTGCGACAGGGGGGGGAGAGAGGGGAGGGCGGTGAGGAGATGGGTGAAGAAGGGGGTGAAAGCAAGGAAGGACAAGCGAGGGGAGGGGGCAGTGCAGCAGAAGGAGTTGGATTTGCAACACGGAGGGGGGGAGTGGGCGAGGCCCCCATCGAGGGTGCAAGTGAAGAGGTGAAAGGAAAGCAGCAGCAGCGGGGAACAGAGGAGAAGGGGGTGAGGCCGGGGCACGAGGGGCAGCTGAAGACGACAGAAGTGCAGCATGGCAGCGGCAGGCAGCAGCGAGTGAGTGCGAGAGGCAGCAGGGAGGAGCGGGTGGCATATGAATTCCTGTGGAACGACGGCGCGCTGGAGGCAGCAGCGAGTGAGTGCGAGATGTACAAGCTGCTGCGCCCGCAGCTGCAGGCCATCACCCACAACCCGGGCCTCTCCGACCAGGAGTGCGTGCGCCAGGTGAGACAGCAGCTGCCATGCCGTCGACTGCCCTGCACGCTGCCGCGGCCTCGGTAATGTGCAATCTACAAAGCGTGCGCTGGTGCGACCTTGAAAGGAGCCTGCAGTTGAAGGTGCATGTGGCAGGAAAGCAAGTGGTCTTTTTGAACCCGACTTGCTACCTAGCTGGAAGGTAAGCATACAAGCAACGAGGAGGTGTGGATCACTCTCTCTGTACCCTCTCTTTCTCCTTAACACCCGAACATGGTCCGCTTAGAATTTAGAGTTTTGGGAGCCCTATGTGGAGTGTATGATTCCCCCTCTTTGACCTGGTCCATGCCTCCCCCTCCTCCCTCGTGCAGGTGAAGCAGCTGTGTGTGATGATAGAGGAGCGGTTTGGAGAGCTGACCGGCCAATTTGACCTCAATCACGGGGCTTACTTCCTAGATCCCCGCATTATCGGGGCTATGGTACACTTCCTGGGACACAGGGAGCTCCCTGATTGGTCCAGGGAGATCGACACTGACGTGTTGAGGGCTGAAGAAAGGATCAGGTTTGGGAGACTTGGGCACAGGGGTGCAGGTGCATAGTATTTGTGATTGCCTGCGGAACTTGGATTAGGATAGGGCCTTGAGTAAGACAGCGAATGTACATAACAAGATGTACATAACTGACATTGGCATAGTGAATGTACATAACAGGATGAAACTTTGCATACCAGGGTTCTACTATAACCCTAGCTAGCCATGTTAATTTGAAAAAAACTTAACAATGGGTGGGTGGTGTTTGTGGATTAGAATCTACAGCACTGGGGTCCTTTTTTATAGACATGTTCTTTTTAGTGGATATTGGCTTTCAATGTTTCTGAGTCCGTCTTTAGGGATCAGGTTGGGACCCAACCTCAAAAATCAAGATTTTTACCCTGATTTGGCTGTTTTTCAGGGTGTTTTTTTGCAGTGACCCTGAAGTTTCAGCCCTTCTTCTTTTAGACACCGTGTTTTCAGTGTTTTTAGGATTCAAACACTGAATTTTCAGAGTTTTGAGTTTTAGGACACTGATGACTCAGCGCTGTATTGCGTTCGACACTGAAACAGATTCCGTGATTCACGCAGTTTCGCCAAGTTTGGCGCCTAGGTTTTCACCGTCAGCAGTCAGTTACCCACTGTGCACCGGCGCCACCCTGTGGCTCGGACTGTTTTTGCTGTAATGGCTGAATTTATTCCTTGTTGTCAAATCTGCGCACTCTGATTGGCGTTTTCGGGTGTTGTAATGCATCGTTGTCACCGAATTCAGCCACCACCTGATTATTTTTGCCTCGCTGCGCACAAAGCAGGTGGTTCGTGGTTGGTTTCCTCTTCAGCAGGCAACGTCGTGCTGGTGGGTGTGCTCAGCCAACACATGCAGGGGTTCTCCTGCCACCTCATTTTGTTCAGCACGCAACAAACCCTCTCGGCTGGCACAATTCGTGCTCCTGCTAAAACCCTCTCGGCAGGCTCTCTCTCTAGCTTGCCTGCTCTTCTCGCTCGTGCTGTGGTCTAGCCATGGCGGAAACTGGTGATGACGGCTGTGGTGACGATGACGATGCTGCTGTAGAACCCCAGTCAGAGATGCGCGATTCACGTACGGGACTAGACTTCTTAGTCTCTGCACTTTCAAACGAGAAGGAGAAAGTTGCGCCCCGTTTTCGTCCGGCAACTACAGACGACGCCGGTGATGTCTGCGCCCCTGTCGAACGCCCTCACCCGCAAAATTCATCAAGACCTGTCGCCGTATCTGCTGCCGGCCCTTCCGTCCGCGGGCCATCTCCTGCATCAACATCTAAGGGACAATCCTGCTACAAGCAGGCGGTGCTGCGCTGGGCCAATCCAACTGCCCCACACCTTCCAGTTGGTGATGCTGGCGAGTCTGTAAATGCTGCTGCGGACCCTCCATCCAAGGCTCCGAAACAAGCATTTACGAAGTTGATCCACGCTGATGTCTTGGATAGCTTCAAATCGAAGTGGTCTTAAGCTTACCCTTGGCCTTTGCTAACCAAAACTCCTTCTGGTTTGCCTGCGTTCAAGTGCAGTTTATGCTCAGAGCATGCTGGTGACAGTGGCAAGTGTGGCAGGGGTGGGCACGGTGCCACCGATCTTCAGACCCAAGCATTCAAGTGGCATGCTCCAACAAACAAACACAAGCTAGCTGTCGAGCACGAAGAAAAGCTGCTGGCTCAAGCTGGGAGGCAGCCAAGGATCGACACGCATCCGCTCGCCAGGGATGATGAGAAGACGCGGATCACTGCCCTCCTTGACTCCCTGCTGTTCACGTGTCAAAACTCCTTGCCAATGGAGACGTGGGTGCACCTCATGCGGTACCTGTCGAGGAACGAAGTGCGAGGCTTCTTGAAGAAAGGCTATGGTACCTACTACACGACGTAAGAGTTAACGGGTTTGGTGGGGCATGACATGTTTACAAATTCTGTACTAATTTCCCTTCATACGTGCATTCCGTTTGCGGCAGGTATGGCTTTGGAGAATTGACACAGATAACTGCTGTGTGGCTGCAGACTACCCAACTGGAGCACGTTTTGTCAAGCCTGTACATCGGGCTCAGCTGCGATGAGTCTACAGATTGCTGCCGTGGCAAGCATCTCATCATCTACGTCACGTTCATCCACGAGCACGCAGTTGTAACGGAGTTCGTTGCATTATTAACCATGGACAAGCCCGATGCAGCCTCCTTGGTGGGGTTGCCGTTGTCATGTGCAGGCCGTCGGCATTGACCTGCGCCGAGTCACGGGCATTAGCACAGATGGTGCGAGGGTGATGTTGGGATCTCGCAACGGGCTGGTTGCAAGGCTGAAAACACGCATCCCGCACATAGTTTCCTGCCATTGCGTTGCTCACAGGTATGGCAGTAACCGTTCAATTGCAGTTGCAGCACGGTAAACACATGTACTAATATTACCCCCCCTGTTTCCTCTTGTGGCAGGGAAGCACTCGCGGCCAAGGACGTGGCAGAATCCCTCCCCGAGTTTGACATGATCGACACGTTCATCAGTTGGCTGTCTAACTTCCTGGGAGCTTCAGGACCCTGGTACCAACGCTTCCTGGACCTGCAAGATGTTTTCACGCAGACAAACTTGGAGCTGCAAGGGATTATACTATGCGATGGTTCTCTCGGGGAGATGTAGTGTTGAGGTTGCTTGCTGTGCTACCAGGGGTGATTGTGATGGTTCACGGACCCATGTACACCATGGTCACGAGCTACAAGTTCCAGTTCCTGCTTCACTACCTCGCGGATGTCCTTGAGCAATTGAACGTGCTCAACAGGACGCTCCAGCAACGTGAGGTATAAGCTTGAGTTGTGTTGTGTTACTTGTGTTGTGTTACCTGGTGGTTTGTTGTTGACTGTTGAGTGTTTGGCTGATGACTGTTGTTTTGTGTGTTATTTTACCTGGCAGCTTGACCTGGTGGCAGTGCACGCCCAGATCCGTTGGACAACCACGCACCTCGAGTTTCGTTATGTGGATTGTGGCGATGACTTCGGTGCAGGGCTCAGCGACCGGTTGTCACCCTTTGTGGCACGCCATGGACCTGACGGGGTGAGCAGAATGGAGGTCGGGGGGGTTGATTCTGATGGTCGCCTCACATCACACTGTTATGTCTTGCATGAGTCCCCTCTTCAATGTTTCCCCACTGCAGGAACAAACGACACATGTGTCGACCTCTGCACGGCAATGGTGGGGTTGCTCGTGCATCACCTGAAAGAGCGACTTGGAGACCTCGAATCCTTGTCCGGCGTACGCCTCTTTACGCCCGAATTGTGGCCGCTAGGATGCCACGAGCGAAACATGGTGTGCACGGAGTATATCGAGTCCCTGACAACACTTTTCAAGGCACATGAGTCCGAAGAAATTGTACCAGGCACCTTCTATTTGTCAAACCTGGATCTCGAAGACATTGTCATGACACTGTTTGGTGTTTCTTGTTTACCCTCCCCAACACACTGCTGTTTGGGTGCCCTAAGCTTCCATTGTCATGTTTGCCATTTGTATGCACCATTACTGCAGGAGATAACAAGAAGAAGGCGTTCAAAGAGCTCAAAAATTTCTGCCCCGTTCTTGCCGGAGCTCCAAAGTCAGAGAGACGATTCTTTGGGGGACTGTCGGCAATGCTGAAGTCGCCAGACTGGAAGGATGCCTTTCCCAACCTGGTGAAGCTGTGGGTGGCTGACACTGTGCTACCGTTGAGCACAGTTGAGTGTGAACGCGGATTCTCGCGTCACAACGTGATTAAGAGCTGGGTGAGGAGCTATTAAGGATGCACGGCTGTCAGATTTCATGTGCGTGGCTGTGAGGATCGAAGAACTGGTTCAGAAAATATATTATGATCACCTGGGTACAACACGAGGCTATATATAGGCTCGACACAAGGCCAGTAACCCGAGTGTTACTAGAAGGTTCTCCGGGTCGCGAAGCGTCCCGAACGGGTCCTTCCCGAATTCGGTAGAAGCAATTCGGTGACAACCGAAAAGCATAGAATTCGGTGCACGCAACCTAGAACGGTGCTATAACTATAATAAATATGGTAAAGCAATGATTCTAAGGAAAACGAGCAAAAGCATGCATAATAAAATAAGGCTAAGCAAGATAAAGCATTATAAGCTAAATCCAAGTAGGTAAAGCCGTCGCACTCTCAAAGTGGCATTGCTGCAGTACGAGCCCAACTGGGATGAAGTGGTCAAGATCTGGAGAGCATGCAAGAAGCGGAAGCAGTTCACCACCGTTGCTGCCCCTAAAAGACCTCCTAGTGCTAAAGAGAAGGAGAAGGTAGATGAGGATGATGCGTGTTGGAGTAAGGCGAGAGTTAATTCTAGCATTCCAGAAGGTGCAGCCCTATCGCACCTGCTACTATCGAAGTAGCACTTGTACCACTACCGTGTTAGCCCATATAGGGCACGCAGGTCAACAGTCGCGAGTCAACTGTTGCGACTGTTGACCGACATGGACCATGAGGTTGCGACCTGCGACATCAGTTGATCTTGCGCTCATCGAGCAATTGATCACCCGCATCAATGCACTGGAGAGCCACCATCAACCCATGAGCATTGATGGCTCAAGCTATGCCAGAAGACCTCCCGATTCTCAAGGCCCTTACTCCGAGCGCTCGTTCACCTTCGACAATCGTCAAGGTCAAGTGCCAGCTCAAGCACAACAGGCACATTTCGAGGCAATGGCGTCAACCAAGAGCAAGCTTCTATCTACCTCGAAACTTAAGACGAGCACGCTCTTCGACGGGAATGATTTCTACACCTGGAGCTTCAAATTCGAGCTCCTGGCTCAAAGCACGCAGATGCGGATGTACTACGATGGTACACTATATTTTCTCCAACGACGGCTTACCTCAGGATAAGGCGCAGTATTATAATGAGTCGCCGCTCGGCTACACCGTCCTGATCCGCAAGTTGTCGCCCGCAGAGCACCTCGGCATCCGCTCCTTCAAAAACCAGTTGACGCCTGCACAACAGTCTTGGGAGTACCTGCGGACATTGTACATGGCAACCGACTCAGTGACGCTCAGTCGTCTGCTAAACCAGCTCTACAACG